CAGAAAACTTGATAATGACCTGGTTATTTTATTTACTAAAGTGAAATCAAGTTAACTCTTCGTAGCACTGAGAAAAGAATAATTTTATCAGCAGATTAATCCTAGAAATTTAAAAAATATTTTTGAAATAGGATAACATTCTACAAACAACTCTTGCATAAAACATAAAGTACACCCATTGGATGTCTTTTTTCAAAAACAAAACAAAGAAATTCTTAATATCATAACCATTAAGTTTATATGTTATAAAATAGCCATAAATGTAAAAGCTTTATTTAAAAAAACAAAAACAAATTAAATAGAGTTCAGCTACATCATCTTGAAAAATTAAAAACATCAATGTAGGTAGCTGAGTTAATCTTTTACCCCTCCTTTTTTGGGGAAAGCTAGATCAACATGATAAAATTTTCTAGTTTTTCAATCCCCAAGTGGTTATCAACTTAGAATGAAACTAAGCAGAGGTAGAACATTTTATTTCCACTTCCCGAAGAAGAAATGGTGTTAAAAAACAAGACTAACACTTCACGGTGCTAACCAGGAAGGTGAAAAGCACTGAGAATCCTCTCTTTGGAGGCTGCTTTAAAGAACTTGGGATTTTTCACCCAGGGCTCTAATCACAGGCTTAATTCAAAGCTCAGCTTTGCTACCCATTAGCTCTGTGAACTTGGGGAAAATGATGAGCCATTCTGCTCCTCTTTCTCCTTTGTAAAATGGGATTCGATACCTACCATCTAGCATTGTTGTGAGGACCACATGAGATCATGCACAGTAAGTGTGCAAAAGTGACAGGTGACGGCAGGAGACACAGGACTTGTTGCTGTTGATAAGTGCCTTCCAGTCAGTTCTGACTCACAGTGACCCTGAATAGGGTTTCCAAGGAGCTGTTGGTGAATTTGAACCGCTGACCTTATCCTACGGCGCCACACCAGCATTAAGTAGATGGAATTGATCTGAGCTGGTGTTATAATGTAAACCCTATAGAAGCCATTGTCAGAGTCAATGCTTCCCCTCCAGAGTAAAGATGGTCACTGGAATTTAGAATATTGGCAAGCAATGAAGCTAGATTATATAAGGTCTACTATGACAAAAGTACAAGGAGCTTCAAACAATTCGTGGAAAAATTACTGTCTTTTAATTCATTTTTTCCATGAACTTTTTAAGGCCCAAAAGTATTAAAAAAAAAAAAAAAAAACCACCTGACTATATGCATTCAGCAATAAGAGTCCTTATTTTGTATATAACTCACTATTAAACTTTCTAACACACTATTAAACTCAGATTATCCTTTCAGTGGTTTTAAACAAATTATGGTGATTTCAAGTTGCTTAAAAAGAAAAAAACCACAAAACTGTATATATTTTTGTAAAACAAATAATTTTTATTCAAACAAGATCCAAGAGATTTGTAAAAACCAGTGGCATCTATTCAAAAGGGGTTCTCATGAGAAAATCTAAAAACATTAATGGCAGAGGCCATTACGTGGCTGATTTTCCCCAGCCTAACGCGCACTCCTTAAGTGCTTACACATGTAAACATCAGTCCCTCTCCATGGGTGAGTAGCCATTTAAGCTCCTAAGTAAGAAAGCAAGCCAATTCCATTTACTTGGCTACCTGGGGGAGAGCAGGCGGCTGGCTGAGGAAGGCTTTTATGGGCTGATTCATTCACTCACAAACACTCTGAGTGAGTACCTCGTGTGTGGGATTGGATTCTCACTGCCAAGATGGGATCAATGCGACTTTCCGTTATTTAAAAAAAATGTTTTGTAACATCCTCTTTCACATTATGCCTATTAAAATCTCAGTCCTCTCTCATGCTCACGATCAAGTGCCCCCCTTCACATAAAGTCACCTTGAACCTTCTACCCCTCAAATCTCAACCCCAGGCAGAATGAACCACTCCCTCCTTGGTGCTCCTAATGGTGTCTCTTGATCAGCTTCACTCTATGTATCTACCAGAGGAGGCCCATCTGTTAACCCTGACACACGAATTACATGCTCCAGCTCTCTAGAAGCCCACAATAACAAACTGATAAACATGCCAGGTCTTGTACTAGATGTTGAAAATAACCAGGTGAACAAAAACTAGGTCTTGTATAAAGGAGTGCGTGGCTCAGTGAGGGAGTCAGACAGGCATTATTTCAATTTTGGCAAGCACAATCCATGTAATGTAACAGTGGTTAAGTACAAGGTAGGCTATCAGGATGGAGAGGAGAGAGACATTACGGACAGCTTCACATACAGTGATGCCTTGAGGGCATCTCACAGAATGAGCAAGTATAGATCAGGCAGAGAGAAAATCAGGTTCCATTGAGAAGGCATGAAACAGCATGGCGTGTCTGGGAACCTGCAAGGACTCTCGCTGGAGTCAGTGGAAGAAAACGGAAACAGAAAGGAACTGCTGGAGAACCAGGCAGGAGCCAGATCAGAATGGGCTTATGACCTATGTCTGGAATGTTAATTTCCTAGACAATGAGGACCCACAGAGAAGCCCCCAAGAAAGAGGATCAGAGTTGCATTTAGAGCAGCACATAGGGTGCCAGTGTGGAAGATGGAAAATCAGCCCGGTAAGCTTGGGGGCTGGGAGACACACTGGGATACAGTCTACATGAGACCAAAATGGTAGGACTGCCTGCTAGAACACTACTTATCACCTGGAATGATTTGGTAAATTCATTTGTCTACCTTCCCACCCAAATAGGAGCTCCAAACCAGGGACTCTGTCTTGCACACAACTATATTCCCAGTGCTTAAACAGAGCCTTGAATGCAACAGGTGCTCAGCTGTCAATGATGAAATCCCTCGAAGACCCTGGCTGACTGAAAAATGTATTCCTCAACACTTTCTTTAGTGTGTTGTATATAAAGGAGGCTCAAAAACAAGTGCTTATGTTTTTTTTTAATGCATTTTTACTGGATTTTCCCAAATAACAACATCAAATTACCTTGGTGAAAAGTTCAAAGACAGAATTTTTCCAACCATCAGCTTTGCACACCCCACCTGGGCATCTAGGAATCCAGCTGGGGCATTTCTGCTTCACAAATCATTGCTGGCAACAAAGCCTCAGCAATTAGAGCTCAGCTGTCGGATGTGCTGACAATGGACAGGACAGCCAGCCAGCGAAACAGCACGGCCCCCGTTTTCGTGTGCCAGCATGGGCTACATCAGGAGGGCAGCACATCATTCCCGGGGGGCTACAGCTTCCTCACATGGTTCTACAATCCACACCCCAGTAACTCTGGGGGAGATTTTCCTTCAGAGAATGAAGAATGGGATTTAATGTCTCTGTGATACTAAAACCAAGAAAAGGACAGTTTTCTAACTCTTCTGCAGTGGGATAAACCAGGCTTAAGCCATCGGCTTGACTGCCTCATCCCTCTGGTCCCAACCAGTTCTCCAACTGTAAGTCAGGGGTTCCTAACAGTAAGCTGGTTTCAGAGGAGTGTCCGGTACCTCTCAGAAGACAGGTCTCTGAGGGTGTCTCCACTGACGTCAATCAAGAATCCTCTTGAGGGAGACCCACATGACATTCAAGGCATAAGCACACTCAACCAAGCTTCAGACCTGGGTACAAATCCTGACTTTGCCAGTTACCAGCTGTGTGACCGTTAGTAAATGAGTTAAACTTCCTGAGTACCAATTTTCTCATTAGTAAAACAGAAATAGTCCTCCCTGCCTTCCAGAAGGATAAAATGATAAACAAATGAGGAAATAGTATTTTTCCACAAACTTCCTGAAGCCCTCTTGTAGTTCCCAATACCTTACAGGCACTTTAGGCATGTTCATTCCCTCCCTTAGCCTGGGAGGGACTGGGAAGCTAGTGAAGAGCTACCTTGTCTGGAGCAGACCTCCTGGGATGGGAGATCTCACACAGAGGGTGAGAAAAGTATGGAAACTGACAGCCTGCAACTTCTGCCTCTTCTACACTTGAGAAAGTTACAAAATGTGAGCGGCAGAAGCTGTCCCAAGTACATAAAGGAGGCAAATCAGTTTGCGAAGGGAGGAAACAGCACAAGATGAAGATTGTAAATTGTTTGAAGCTTCTTCCCTAATTACCACTCATAATGAAAATTTAATTGCCAAGTTAAAAGCAAATTTCACTTTTTCTGTCAGAGAATCTCTGCAGAAACTGGCACATTTTGTTTGAACAGGAAATCAAAGTTACTTTAATGCTTAAATGAGATCTAAGGAGCTGCAGATGTTTCACTGGGAAAAACAAGCTTCAAAACTCTCTCCTACTGGGTTGCAGCAACTTGTGGCTGACTACAGGATGAAAAACGAACCAAACATATAACTAACTGTCTTGATATAAAAAACTAACTCAAGGGAGTGGAGGTGATTCAAATTTCCAAGCACCTCAGTGCTAGGCACTCGGGGGGTGGGGGAGACAACGACAACACAGGTCTCTAGCATCAAGGGGTTTACAGTCCCACAGGGAGGAAAATAGGGAACATACCAAGATTAGGATGTTAGGAGACCTCTGGGTCTTGTTAGAATAAGCAAAGTAACAACAAAGGTGCTTTCCAAGCTGGTCCTGACACTATATATCCTGCAAAGAAAGGTGGTGAGAAGAAAAGGGCTCTTCTCATCAACAAAGCGGTGACCAGAGGATCATCAACATTCACAAGTGCTTTCACTGAGTGGGCTTCAAGAAATGTGCCCCTTAGGCACTCAAGGAGATCTGGAAATGCTCCATGAAGGAGATGGGAATACCAGGTTCAATAAAGTTGACTGAGCCAAAGAAATAAGAATGTCCCATACCATATCTGTGTACAATTGTCCAGAAAATGTAATGAGGATGAAGAGTCACCACACAAGCTGTATGTACTGGTTACCTATGTACCTGTCACCACTTAAAAAAACCTGCAGTCAATGTAGAGGAAAACTAACAGCTGATTATCGACTAAAGTTATATATAGCTACAAAGAAAGAAATCCAAAAAGGTCCTTCCACACACTCATACTTTCATTCTGACCCACATAGGTGCCAGCCAAAGACTGTACCTGCAAGGTGCTGGTGAGGAAGTTGTGCTGGGAGACAATATCCACGAAGAAGTCGGGGGGGATCTCGCCAAGCTGGTGGTACAGAATGGAGATCAGGTTGATGTAGAGGGTGTGGTGCTTCGCCATAGCTTCTTCTGACCGGCACAGAAGGTTCAGGAGCTGCTTCCAGTGCTCAAATGCCTCATACACATTCCCCAGCAGGAAGCATACGAAAGCAAATTGGAGTTCACCTGAAAGGTGCAGAGGAGAAATGATCCTGGGGGAGAGAAGACCTGCTGATTCTGCCCTGAGGTCACCAGAGCACATGCATCTACTATACGCTGTTTTCAAGGCAATCAATTCCACTGGACCTCAACAACAGGTGACCTTTTATCCTTGTCACTCCTGCGAAGCCTAGCACAGGGTTTTGTACCTAGCAGGTGTTCAATAAATGTATGTGGAACTGCAATAAACTAGCCACAGGAGACTAAATTGTGGCTTTGGAATGCTGTAAAATCAGACTGTAAGAGAAAGCGCATACCTACTATTTGCCTGGCATTTAAAAATTTTTAAAAATCTGCCCATAGATATTACGCCCAGTGGGTCCAAACCTGGGTGTCTATCAGAATAAATGAGAGAGCTGGCTAAAAATAAAACTGCCCAAACCTCATCTCCAGAAACTCTGATTGACAAGAGATGATGGAGTCTTTGTATCTACAGCCCTAAAAATCTCCGGGGTGAATCTCAAGGAGTCTGCTCCAAAGTCAGGTAAGTGTTGCATTACATAATACTCAAGTCAGCTCTATGAAGTGGTCAGGGAAGGTGGCAATTCCTCATTTAATAGATGAAGTTAAGGGACTTGCCCAAGGTCACACATCTAATTCTCTGGTAATGTGAGCATGGGAAAAATAAAACAGAATGCCTATTGGGTAGAAATGTGTTTTGGTATGGGGCTATAGGATAAGCACTGGACTGCTAGCCACAAGGTCAGCAGTTGAAACCCAAACGCTCCTTGGAAACCCTATTCAGAGTCGCTATGAGTCAGAACCAACATTTAACAATTGGGTGGGTACAGTTCTAGAGCCACCTAGAACAGGGAAATTCATGAGTACTTGTTTCAACAGTTAACCTGCCAGCCAGATATTTTTGTTTCGTCACCAGACTCCATGACTTAACCTTTAGGAGCATCCTGTTGAGTAATAGCATGGGCTCTGGAGCCTGACTGCCTGGGTTCAAATCCTAACTACAATACTTAGCAGCTGTGTGACCTTGGGCAAGTTTCTTAACCTATTTATGACTCAATTTCTTTCTTTGAAGACTATTGTTGTTGTAAGTGCCAACAAGCAGGTTCTGGCTCATAATGACCCTATATGGGGTTTCCAAATAACAGCTGGTGGGTTTGAACCACCAACCTTGTGGTTAGTAGTCTAATGATTATTCTACAGCTCCAACCAGGACTGTAGTGAAAATTAAACAAATCAATATAGCACATGGAAATCATCTGGAATAATGCCTGGCACACACATTGTTGTTGTCGTCACTGAGTCGATTCTGACTCATAGAGACCCTGTACTGGGTTTCCAAGGTGTGGTTGGTGTATTTGAACTGCCAACTTTGAGGTGACCGGTCTAGTGCTTATACTACAGTGCCGTACTAATGTTGTCAAGTCAATTCTGACTCACAGTGACTCTGTGAGGGTTTCCAAGGCTGAAAATCTTTGCAGGAGCAGAAAGCCTCATCTTTCTCCTGCAGGGCAGCTGATGGGCTCTGTGGTTCAGAGCCCAGTACTTATCCTATAGAACCACCGCATTTTCTGCCACACTAGAAGCACTCAGTAAATATTAGTTATTATTCCCACATTTATACTGGTTGCCAATCTCAAAGGGAGCCAACGATCCAGAAGCCACTGTTGAGTAAACAACTAGTGCTCTGATTGTCCCAGATTTACTGTTAGCAAAGCTAGTCTCCCAGCTTCAAAGGAGACCATAAACTGAATAAGGGCTCTTGTGGCATATATCCATGTGAGTCATAAAAAAAGATGTGCCCAACACCAAATGCCTCTTTCAATGCATTAAGTTTAATCCCTGTCACCTGTTGTTTTTGTTGTTAAGTACCATCCAGATGGTCTGACCCATGTTGTTATTGTTAAGTACCACTGCATCAGTTCCGACTCATAGCAGCCCTGTACAGGGTTTCCGAGGAATGGCTGGTGACTTTGAACCACCAATCTTGTAGTTTTTTGTATACTAAAAGCATTTTTGCTTTTTCAGTTGGCTTTGCCTGGTTAGTTTGTGAAACTAAACATGAGCTTATCCTCTGAATTTAGGGCATTTCTTTAAATTCTTGCCTTACTGGCTTAGTCTAAAATTAAATGACAAGATCAGAAATACTTCCAAAGTGCTGTCATGCAGATTCAAAGCTATCCCTGTAACAGACCTTTTCACAAGAAATACTTTGAAGAATTGAAATGTTTAAGAGGTAAAAAAAAAAACTGGATTTTTATTGCTTTTTATGTCTGAATTTCAAGAATTACTTATTAAATGAAAATGATGTATAATGCATTAGCTGTGCCCACTGAAAGGTCCCTTTTTATCGGCTGGGCCAATGATCTAGAAGATTCTAATTAAAATCTTTCACAGACCTTCTAGGAGGGAAATGTGCAAATTCCCCGAGCAACATGTATTAAAAAAATACACATAAAATGTGGAGCCTGTTTGCTGTCACTAGTAACCTAAGAAACAGACAGCGATACAAGATGCCATTTTCTGTCACTTCACTTGGAAGAGGCTTATGTTCAATCACCAGGCCCAATGCTGTTAAAGACGCTGGCCACAGGCTCCCACCTGCTGGAGAGGATGTAACACGCACACTCTGCACCAGTAGTTCCAACCCTCAGTGTATGTCCAAGTACACAACAGGATGTTTCATAGAGATTTATAATAGGAAAATACAGAAACATCTAATAGGACTTAAGTGTCCCCATTCACAAGGACTCATTCAATATAGTGTGAAATGCTAAGTGACCACTAAAAAAAGGAACTACCAATTCAGTGGCATGGAACAATGTTTCTATCAAAGAGGATTGGAAAACATATGCTTTAATGTTATTTCTGTACAAAAGTACAAGGGGGCTTCAAAATGTTTATGGAAGAATTGAATGAAAAGATAATGTAATTTAAAATAATAATAATAATAAAAGGGGGTTTCTTGATTCAAGAAATAATCTATGATGGTTTTGGAGAAGGAGGAAATGATGCATAGAGGCTGGACATGCATTGACATGGGTGATGGGGCAGGCAATATACAACTGGAGGTAGTTAGCAGAGGAAAGCTGGGGTGGTGGGAGACACAGGGAGAAATGCGATGGTTAAAGTGGTGGTGGTGGTGGTTATGCGCTGTGGAGTCGGTTCCGACTTACAGCGACCCAGTATAGGGTTTCTGAGGCTGTAGATCTTTATGGGAGCAGAGAGTCTCATCTTTCTCCTGCGGAATGGCTGGTAGTTTCGAACTGGTGACCTTGAGGTTAGCAGCTCAACTTGTAACCACGATGCTACCAGAGCTTCTTGTGGTTAAAGTGAATAGAGGTAAATGCTGTTAACTGTTGGTGTATGGAAGGGACTGCAACCATGAATGAATCAAAGTTTATGATTTGTTGAATATAAAACTGATAATCTGCTCTATTAACTTTCACTCAATTCACAAAAAGTTAAAAAAAAAAAATGATTAGAGTTTATGGAACCACTCAGAAAAGGCGGATGAGAACTACAATGTAGAACTTAAAGAATGTAATCAATGCCACTGAATTGTGCAAATGACTAAATAATGGCTATTTTTCTGTATACATTTTCAATAACAATAAATTTTAATTAAAAAAAAAAATGTAATTTTAAAGGGAACACACGGTCTTGTATACACTTGGTGGCAACACTCCTGGTCAACCTGTGAGTGGAAGGAGGGAATGCAACAAAGAAGACATGGGCTGAGCTTGGCCATGTTCCAAGCACGCCCAATGACCCTGACATGAGAGAAGAGGATAATGGGCTGGCTGCTTTGAAGTTCAGGGAGACATGTGAACTTCTGAGCCCAAGGACACTGACCTAGTAACTGGGGGTTAGAGTTAAGAGTGAAGCAGCCAGCTAGTCTCAGGGGGGAGGCATGTGAGATAGTACTGCAGACAGTGCTCATTTGACCTAGCTTAGATGGCTTACCGACCAGAATTCAACCAGATGAAGGTAAAAAGGTATGATACAGGGAGCAAGTGTAAATTGCTACAACCTGATCAATTGGACTTTTGCTTGCAGAAGAAGTTGCCCAAAATTCCAACCGATAGTGAAGGATTCTTCATAGCAAGGATCAGGCACGTCTCCTCAGTACACTGGGTTAATAGGGACGGGCAACTTCGTCTTTAGCTATCAAAACTGGAGGGCTATCAAGGCACAAAGAGGCTGACTTACAAGTTTTTATGAGGGTGCTTAGTGTCAAAACGAGGCTTTCCTCTTGTCCAGATGGGTCTGGTGATGAGGGGGATAAGATTTTATGACTCAACTGAGTAACCATTATCAGGTCTAATGGTGATTGTTACAACTGTAAATGTAGAAGAGGTATGACTAAAAGTGGGGAGCAGTTAATCTGTCATTTCAGGAATCAGAGAACCTAGGACCATCATGAGGAAGGAACACGAGAAGACGAGAGGAGTGAGGGATCCTAACCAGAAAAGCAGCAGTAACAGAGAAGGTAGCAGAGGCAATGGCACAGACAGACAGAGCAGCAGGGTCACGGACAGAGAAAGGCAGTATGCCTAAGGGCAGGAGGATGGCTTGCAAAATGTGTCCCTTGGCCATTTAAGCAAATATATATTTTCAATACAGTATGTGTACATCCAAAAAAAAAAAGGTAAAAAAAGAGGTAAATACTGTTGGCTACGGGTGCATGGAGGGGACTGTAACCATTACAACGATTTGATGAATATGTAAAAATGGTGATCTGCCCTGTAAACCTTCACTCATTCAATACACAATAAAAACTTATTTTAAAAAATGTTATTTTTCCACTAACTTTTTGAAGTTGTGTGATCTATGCACACAAACACATAATAAAAGAAACCTTCACTCATTCTCAATAAAAAGTTTAAAAAAAAAGGCTACAAGAAATGCATTGTTCTTTTTTGTTATGTGCTATCGAGTTGGTTCAAATTCATAGCGACCCTCTATAGGGTTTGAGGGTATAGTCTTTGCAGGAGCAGAAAGCCTCATCTTTCTCGCATGGAATGGCTGGTGGGTTCGAACCACCAACTTTGTGATTTGTAAACCAGAGCTTATTGTAATGAAATATATAGATATTGAAATAAAATACAAAGACATATCTAGATAAAGATGGAAAGTAAAGATACCAAAATATAATTAATTATTTCTAGGTGGTAGGATTTGGAGTTATTTTTGTTTTTGTTTTCTTCTCTGATGAACATAAATTATTTATAAGAAGAAAAAACAAAAGTATATAACAATTTAAAGAAATCACTATCCTGATCTAAGTCATGAGCGTGACATCTTGAAAGAGTCAGAGTAAATGGCAAGCTACTAAAAGAACAGGTCTTGTCCAGGAACCAGAAAACCTGGGCTCTGATCTGTTTGACCACTTAGTTGGCAAGATCTTTTCCCTCTCTGGACCTCAATCTATAAGATGAGAAGCTGGGTCACATCAGGGGTTTCCAACCACAGGACGGCCTGAGGTTCACACAGAGTGCTTGTTTATTAGATAGATGTTGCTGTTGTTAAGTACTAGAGTTGGTTCCAACTCATAGAGACCCTGTATAGGGTTTCCAAGAAGTGGCTGGTGGGTTTGAACTGCTGACCTTGGGGTTAGCAGTCCAGTGTTTATCCAACAGCACCACACCAGGACTCCATGAGATAGACAGAATGAGAATGATAGCTAGAGCCCCACTTCAAACCACTTGAATCAGTCTCCTGGGATAAGACCTGCACATCTTTAACTAGTGTCCTGGGGTGCTGGCTGTCTAGGAACCACTGGACTAGATAACCCAAGGTTCTATAATCCCAAAGAGCCTTGCTCCTTCTCACCAAGCACATCCTGGGGGCTGCTGGGGAACTGCTTGCTGAGCACTGTCTCCAAGGCATAGCTCAGGTCCATGCTGTGCCTGGTTATCTCGGCTGGTGTGGCGCCATCAGGGAACATCTGCTTGGGCAGCTCTGAGAAGCGGATCTCTGTACCAGCTCTGGGCTTCATCTCAGGCAGCCGAGCCAGGCCCTCCTGGTAGCTTTTGCACTCAGTGCCACACTGGGGTAGATTCTGCTTCACCCGGTCCTTCGTATGCTTCATGGAGAGAACAGGCAGCACATCTGAGAAGGCACAGATGTGCCGGCTCTCGGGCTGCAGCTTTTCCATCATGGCCTCGGTGATGAAGTTGGTGAGTGAAATCCACTTCTTGAGTGTGGCATATGGGTAAGGTCCCAGGAACTGATCCAGTTCCTGGAGGTTGGCCTTCATGGCCTCTACCTCAGCCTCTGGGGCTGGAGACAAATCCACCTCTTCCTGAAGTGCATTCCAACGCAAGACTGTTAGCCCACGCTGCTTCAGGCTAAGGAAAAAGCCCATACGAGGGCCCACATCCTTGGGGTTGGACTTGTCCACAGAACTATAGTGGAAGAAGTGGATGCCAGGCGGGATCATCTTCACACCCCGGAACTTGGGTCCCACCTCCCAGGAGTTGTAATCAATGCCAAACTCTGTCCCCTTGGGCATGTTCAGGATGACCACAGTGGCCCCTTCAAAGAAGAGGCGCTTGGCAAGCTCAGGATCCATCTGCATGGCAGCCATAAGGCCAATGGTGGGCGCCCAAAGGAGAAGTCTTCTTCCTCGTCTGCTAGAACAGCTGAAAAAGAAAGAACTCAGTTAAGGAGAACTTTCATGTGCTGAGCAGTCTCTGTGCCAGACACTGAGATAGACTCCTGACATCACAATCTCCCTTAATCCTCACCACAATCCTATAAGCAAGAATTTGGAGTACTGTTTTAAGATGAGGAAAATGAAACTGAGAGAAAAGGAATTTTGTGTTTGGGCTTAATGAGCAAGAACACTTACTTCCCAGCTAGAAAGGCACAGAGGTTAAGGAAAAATGATATATACTCGTGGTCACAAGGATCCAGTTTAGAGCCTGAGTGACCTACCCTCGAGGCCAGTGTTCTCCCTGCTCACTCCTAAAAGCTACACTTAGAGCTCCCTTTCACAACACAGGCTGTTCTAAATCAGAACTCCATCTATAACCGATTTCTGGAGAATTTCAGGAAAATTGGGAAGGCTGATTAAATCAAGTACATGCCCAGTTTTCCTTTCTCTGGGAAGGCACAGACATTGGCAGAAGGTTACAATTAGGATACTATGGAGAGTGGGTGCTAAGCATCTAAAATCCACAGGAGGTTTGTGGAGTGGAGAGCTTTTCAATAACAATCCCCTCCTTCTCCCTTTTATTCATAAAAAAACCCCTAAAATTCAGGGGAAAACATATCTTCCCAAAGGTCCTACAGTTAACAGCAGTTTTGGATTACTTGCCCAAAATGTACTCAAGTGGCAAGGCTGGCCTAGGGTGATTATTCACAAGAGAGAGTTTAAAATGCTTATTTCACCTACCTTTGAACTACCCATGAGGACTTACTGATAAAACTTCTGTAAATTTCAGCATGTGCCAATTTAAACCAAACAAATCATCTAGTCCCAAACACCTGCCTACTGAACTCAACAAACGTGCACTGAGTGCGGCCCTGTGCCAGGATCTTTGGTGGGCACTAAAGGAAACGTCCAAGTAACACTGTCACTGCCGTTGAGTCACTTTGAATCTAGCTGGATGTAAAATCAAAACCCAGAAATTTCACAAACAGAACAGTCTGTTTAAACCTGTTTACTACCCCACCCTTGACCCTAAAAAAAATTTTTTTTAAAGTGGGGAAAAACACGACTTAGCCTTTTTTCAAAAATATTGAGCACATCTTTCATATCTTTCATTTTCTTGGTTCAAAAACCACTACAAATACCTCTACAAATCTGCCTATTTTTCAAACTTTACCTCACAACCCATTAACGGGTTATTAAATCAATTTAGTCTCACGCCAGCATTTTCTTTTAATGAAATGTGCAGAGTTCATTTTTTTTTTTTAACCAAAACCAGAGTTCATCACAAGTAGTAAGGATAAGTACTTGTTTCTGAAAGCTCTGTGTATATATATTCACTTGACTGCAACACAAAATGCACAGCTTCAGTTTTCTATCTCCAATCCTGAATACTTGATAAATATGCAATTTGTTGAATGAACATATAGCACACTTAGAAAAATCCTTGCTCATTCAAGTCTAATCCATCAGTTGTAATCCTCTTATCTCCAGCAGCTAGCTAATGCCATAGAGTCGGTTCCAACTCATAGCGATCCTGTCCTGTCCCATGCTCACAATTACTCCTACAATCAAACCCACTGCTGCTATCATTGTGTCAATCCATCTTGTTGGGAGTCTCCATCTTTTTTGCTGTGCCCCTCCACTTTACCAAGCATGATGTCCTTCTCCAGGGACTGGTCTCTCCTGAAAATATGTCCCAAGTATGAGACAATGTCTGCCCATCTTGGCTTCTAAGGAGCATTATGGTTGTACTTCTTCCAACACAGATTTCATGGTACCTTTATAAGTCTTCAACACCCTAACTCAAATGCCTGAGTTCTTCTCAGGTCTTCCTTATTCATTGTCCAACTTTCACGCACATATGAGGCTATTGAAAATATCACGGCTTGGGTTTGGGGTCCCTTATTCCTCAAACTGACATATTTGTTTTCAACACTCATGATCTAGCACCCAGGAGAAGCGGAGAGAAGTTTTACTGAATACACACTGAACTCTACAGCCTACCAATCAAAGTCACTTACAGCTCTGTCAATTCCTCACAATCCGGGAATACAGAAAATCATATCCATCCACTTTTCTCCACCAATTCCCTCATCACTACCATGCTCCCCTCTATTATCCCTAATCCTGAGAGTGCTTAACCCTTCAATCCATTCTCCATACAACAGCCAGAGTGACCTTTTCAAGTTGCCAATCTAGCCATGTTGCCACCCACACTAAAACCCTCTGAGTGGCTTCCCAAGATGTTCCTGGCAAACAGAAATTCTTAGCTTGAACTACAAATTCTTCATGGTCTGGTTCCTGGCAACCTCTCTGGCTTCCTTTCATACTACTCCCCCCAAAAGCTCTCTGTTCCAGATACACTGGCCTTTTTCAGACTCCAAAACAAGCTTCTCCTGAGTAGAATGCAGTTTTCCAAACTCGCAGCTCTATAATCATCTTCAGTAAAGACTCCCCTGATCTCAAGGCTAGGTCAGGTACCCTGTGAAATGTACGCAGGGCACCTCTACCTCTCAATTCCACTTCTCACGGTTATTTAATAGAGGGCTGTCACTTCTACAAGACTTGAGTCATTTTGTTCACTGTATCCCTAGCACGTATGTGATGCTTAATAAACACTTAGGATTTGTATTTTGTAGACAAGAAACAAAGGCTGCCCACCTGAAAGAGGGATGTCATCTGCATCTC